ACCTTGAATCCTTCTCTGGAATTTCGTCTCCGACTTCCATTTTGTGTTGAACAGTCAAAGATTCCAAGCGAAATTCCTCTAGTGATGGGTTAATGTTAACCTTCTCACAATATTGACATCTGAAACCCTTAACTCTTTCATCAGACAGGCCTTTACCCTTCTTTTGCATGGACCGACCTCCCTCATTGTCCCGAACGCTGGTCGGCTGCTTTGATGAGGCAGCCCCAATAAACCGACCTCCCTCTGCCTCATTCGGTTGCTCAAACGAAACGACCCTGATGGACCGACCTTGCTCAGTATATTTGGCAGTGCCTCGGTTGTTGTTCGGTTGCTTTGATGAGGGGACCTTGTCTCTGTATTTCGCAGTGTATCTACGTTTGGCATTTCGAATCTGAGTACGATTTATGCCTGGGAAGCGAGGATCCACATCAATTGGTAAAGGTTTCTTATTTCGAGTCCATTTGCTTCCGACCGCACCCGTCTTCCTGGTCGGGTGGTCCCGAACTATAGCCTGGTCCTTTAATTCCACATTAAAGGAACCATCTTGGTTGTCCCATTTTTCACCCACTGTTTTTTCACAGACCTTGAGTTTCTCCTCCGGTCGGCCACTGTTTGAGGAACTCCCTTTTTCTTTTCTGGAAGTTGTTTGTATATTAACCATTGTTGTGGTTACTTTTGGAAATGGTTACTGTTCAACTCCCAAAGTAATATACTTGAGCCGACCTGCCTTAATCGCCTTTTGGATCTCATTTCGAAAATGAGTACATTGACTTATATTATGTGTGAAGGAATTATGCCACTTACAGTATGGCCTCCCTTTAATCTCTTCCTTAGTAGCCAACCTCTGCCCTTTAGGAATTCGAATCTGACCATCAGTTAACAGAATGTCAAATATCTCATCAGCTTTTGAACTCTCAAAAGTCGGTTGCCCTTTAGCTTCTGTTCCTGGTGCTGGCTTTAACTTAAAGCATACATAAGGTTTCCCTGAAATTATTTCGGCCGCTATCTCTTCTGTTTGATCATAATCAAAGTCGTATGCCTCTGTTTCCATACTAGCCATATGTTGGCCTTTATTACGCCTGAAATTCTGATCACTTTCCCTGAAAAGCGATTCCAAACATCCAGCCTTGGATGCGAGACTTGCCAAATCCTCGACATCATGTGCAGTGAGTGCATCCCTTAGGCGACCATGCATGTTTCGGACCACTAAGTTGGTCATCTCTTTCTCATTGATTATAGTGGGACATCGTCCCTTCATTAATCGCACCCTCTCAATAAATTGTGAATTTATTCCTCTGGATATTGTTTCATCTCCAATAATTCAGTCAGAGAAACTGTTGGCAAGGGATTGAAAAATCTGGCATGAAATGCCATCTCTAAACGTTCCCAAATTTGTATCTGCCCAAGCGGCAGACTTACAAACCACGAAAAAGCAGTTCTAGTTAGGGACAATCCAAACAGTTGTAACTTGTAAAAAGGGTTGTTACCAATCTCCCCTAACTGTGCTATGAAACGCCCCACATGCTCTATAGTCGAGGACCCATCCTCTCCAGAAAAAACATGAAAATCTGGTGGCCTGTAATTCCTTGGGAGAGGATATTCATTAATAATCCTTTCTGGAAACGGTCTCTGATAAGCAGGTCGGTTGGCCATCTGAGGATTTAAACCAAACTGAACCCTCAATACATGAGCAATTTTATCACCCAAATGAAACTGTTGATGATCAGGAACATCAATGGGATTTTGTACAGGAATATGAATATGAATGGGATCCTGCACATGTCCCCTGGCCTTTCCTCTCTTGTAATATTCGGTTGCATATTTTCAACCCTTGGTCCCAAAGGAATATTATTTGGGAAAGTCAAAAGAGTCTTTCCCCTATCTGTTCGGTTGAAGTTTGTGGCGCTTGGAAGTGTGCTGTCCACATATGATGGCCCTGCGAAATTTGCTTGCATTTTTTATGGTGACACCCCTGGTGGCGTCTGAGTGGGTTGAAGAGTAACCCTTGACAATGCTTGATCTAACATGTTTTGCATAAGATTTTATTGCTCGCGCAACATGTTCTGCATAAACACATTCTGCTGATTGTTCATTTGCTGAACATAAGACAACCAATCGGTAGGTGGTTGGGGAATCTCCCTTGGATTTGGCATAACTGGTGGTGAAATATTTTCTCCCACCGGTGCTGATGATGATTAAGGTTGTGTGCCTGCCATGTTGATCCTTCTGACGATTCGGTCCGACCTCAGTCGTATGAAATTCTCTGGTAATGTAGGATCAGCAATCTTGCCTTTCTCCCACTGTGGTCGCCAATTTGTTGATGTATTTTTTCAACAAACAAAAAATAAAATTGAAAGATATGAAAATATCCTTAAATTTGATTAATTAATGCATGAGATTAGGAATTTCTAAACACTGTACGGTACATAAGAAAATTAACTGGAAAATAAAATGCTGGAAATTTAAAGTGGTGATCCCAAAATCTGACTTTGCTTTGTTGAAGTTGATTGAAGATACCTGAAGAAGAAAAATCTAAATCTTTAAATATCCCTTGAGAAACAGTACTGAAAACCGTCGCCCGAACGGTTGCAACGTCTCTTTTTCAACCGTCTGCTAACCCTTCTCCTGTTGACACGTGCCCCCAACCGACCACAGGATCATTCTCATTTACTCTCAACAGTATCCGTCTCTTTGGACCGACCGCAGAACCTCCGCTTTTTTTGCCCGAACGCAACTCTTCCATCTTGTTGGTCCGACTACTAACCTCCCGACTTGCAGACCACCCGACTTGTTCGGTCCAGCCGCAAACGTCCCGACTTAAAGACCATCCGACCTGTTTGGTCCAGCCGCAAACGTCCTGACTTAAAAACCATCCGACCTGTTGGTCTAGCCGCAAACGTCCCGACTTAAAAACCATCCGACTTGTTGGTCTAGCCGCAAACGTCCCAACTAAGAGACCATCCGACTTGTTGGTCTAGCCGCAAACGTCCCGACTAAGAGACCATCCGACTTGAGGACTTTCCGGCCTAAGGACCTTCCGACCTGAGAGGACCTTCCGATTCTGAGGACCTTCCGACCTGAGGACCTTCCGATTCTGAGGACCTTCCGTCCTGAGGACCTCCCGACCCGAGGACTTTCCGACCTGAGGACCTCACGACCTGAGGACCTTCCTACCTGCAGACTTTCCGTCTTGAGGACTTTCCGACCTGAGGACCTCCCAACCTGAGGACCTCCCGACCTGAGGACCTTCCGACCTGCGGACTTTCCGTCCTGAGGACTTTCCGTCCCGAGGACCTCCCGACCTGAGGACCTTCCGACCTGCTATTTCTTTAGAAATATATCTTTTTTACCCGAGTTTCCCATGGTGCTCCTCGGCCAGTTCGATCAAGTCGATTGCTAGGCCTATTCTTCTTTTTACCTTGGGCTTTTTAACCTAATTCTAAATTTCATACGTAACCGATGTAATAATTAATATTTAAAGATTAACACACAAAAAGTAAATGAGAGACTCTTAGAGCCGAACAGAGGTAGAACTTATTTATATAGAAACTTTGTTTTAATTAAAAAGAAAAAAAAAAAGTCTAGCAGTGGATAGATTGCTTAGGTTTTGAACAATTAAGTGAGCCAGACAATTTTATTTATCTATGTATATAATATATATACATATCTTTTGAAGAAATTGTTTTATTACATTACTTAAAACTTTGTCAAAGATCCTGGCTGGATTTAAACAATAAAATAAATAAAGGAAAGAATCATCATATGGTAGGCAGCCAGGCAGGAGACTCTCGTAGATAATTCTACCTTTGATAAGTCATCAATCAACTTGAAGGTCAACTCAACAATAGCATGATATAGTCCATTTTAAACTAAACAGCATGGTTTTATTTTTGGACTTACTCCGGCGCTCATACCAGTGGAGATGTGTAGATTTTTTTCAAATCTTCAGAGGATGAAATTGCATAATGAAATTGCACAATGAAATTGCACATAATATGAATGCAGTGGAGAATTTGTAAAAAAAAACAGTACTACAACATAAAGAGAATATGCTATTGCTTATTAAAAATAAATAAATCTATCACTTAAAAATGATAAATTCGATAAGAAAATATATTATTGTATTTTTAATTATATTTTTAGTTTAATAATTTATAACAATAATAATTTATATATATGTGATATTTTATGAGATTTGAATAATATAAAATAATTATAAAAATTAAATCATAGTAAGAACAATAAAAAATAGCAAATAAATACAAATTAAATCGTAATAATTAAATGTGAAAAAATCAATAAATAAACACACGTTCTCTCAATTTTATTTCTCTTTCATTTCTATGCATACAGAAGAGAAATGAAACTAGAAACTAGAGAATAAAAATAGTTTATTTTTCAATCTTGAATTGGTTGTCTCAACCACAAACACATTTTCATTTTTCTTGTCTCCATTTTCCAAACACCCCTTATGTCAGCCAACCACACCATTTGCTGAAATGTTGATATATTTAAAAATGAGAACCTTGCTAGTGGAATTTTTTCCAAACTAACTGTGTGAGCTTAAAGAAACTTCATTTAAAGAATAAGCTAGATTCTTTAATTTTAAATTTGATAAGAATCCATTTTAACTTGAGAATATGTTCTTGGCAGAGCTGAACTGTTGTGGATTGAAACCCGTGAAGGAAAAGAAATTTATAAGAACTTGTTATCAACTCAATAGGAACTATTTTGGAGCATGCAATGATCTGCCAACTATGTAGGTCTTTTTTGTAGAGATGGTGTCACTGCCTCTAGATATGCCTTTTTGTTCTATATGTTTTCTTCACTATTTTGCACCCTTGTCTGTTAATGATAATTGACCATGGTTGGGGTAAATTCACTTTCTTGAGTAGTTTCATCACTTCACGCAAAGATGACTGTTCAGCTGCACGCAGCTTTGGTCTAATATGGCTTTCTGAATCTAACAATGCTCTTTTTTCTTTTTCTTTTTAAACCAGGACAATATACGTATTTGCATTGTCGCTTATACTGCAGCAATCAAGTTTCTTGAGGGTATATTTCCTTATCATGCATTTTGATAATTGGTTGCAGCATACAATAATTATGCTGCTCATTGTCTTGTTCACTTTCCACCATTTTTCTGTCCTTGTGCATCAGGTGGACAATGCAAGACATCACCCATAAGAGACACTGGAGTCTCTAGTGAAAACCCTGAAGACGATGCAGAGATGGAGTTTCAGAATGGGCTCAAAGAACAGGCTAAACTTGCTGGATTTTATATCAATCCAGATAAACTTGCATCCCTTGTTGCGTCGTATGATATTAGGACCTTAAGAAAACTAAAAGGAGTCGAAGGACTTGCAGATAAACTGAATGTTTCACTAGACGGAGGAATCAGCTCCAGTGAGGTGCTCACAAGACAAGATGTATTTGGTCCCAATTTGTACACTGAGAAACCTTTGAAGAGTTTATGGATGTTTCTGTGGGATGCTTTGCATGATCTAACACTAATCATACTTATGGTCTGTGCTGTAGTCTCTATTGTTGTGGGACTCGCCACCGAAGGGTGGCCTAAGGGCATGTATGATGGGGTAGGAATCCTTTTAAGCATACTTCTGGTGGTTATGGTTACTGCAATTAGCGACTACAAGCAAGCGCTGCAGTTCAAGGCATTGGACAAGGAGAAGAGGAAGATTTTTATACAGGTCACTAGAGATGGAATCAGACAAAAAATCTCCACATATGACTTGGTTGTTGGAGATGTTGTTCATCTTTGCATTGGAGATCAAGTTCCTGCAGATGGAATTTTTATCTCAGGTTACAACTTGACGATCGATCAATCAAGTCTGACTGGGGAAAGTCTGCCAATATATATATCGGAGAAACGGCCTTTTCTGTTAGCCGGAACAATGGTTAAAGATGGGGAGGCTAAAATGTTGGTGACTACTGTTGGTATGAGAACTGAATGGGGAAAGTTGGTTGAAACACTGAACGAGGGAGGAGAGGATGAGACTCCATTACAGGTGAAGCTGAATGGTGTGGCAACAATTATTGGTAAAATTGGGATTTTGTTCAGTGTTTTGACTTTTGTAGCGTTGACGACGAGGTTTCTGGTCGAGAAAGGACTTCGCCACGAGTTTTTTATATGGTCTTCCGGTGATGCTCTGACTCTTTTGGATTTCTTTGCTACTGCAGTGACTATAATAGTCGTCGCAGTTCCAGAAGGCTTGCCACTTGCTGTGACTCTGAGTCTTGCTTTTGCTATGAAGAAGCTAATGAATAACAAGGCATTGGTAAGACACATCTCAGCATGTGAGACGATGGGTTCTGCTACGTGCATTTGCACTGATAAAACCGGTACGTTGACTGCAAACCATATGGTGCTGAGTAACGTGTGGATTTGTGGAAAAGCAAAAGAAGTAGATGTCCATGGAGATAGTCATGAATTGGATTCCATTATATCCGAGCCTGTACTAACCATTCTCTTGCAGGCTATATTTCATAATACCGGCTCAGAGGTGGTTAGGAATAAAGATGGGAAGATATCCATTTTGGGCTCACCTACAGAATCAGCAGTCCTACAGTATGGATTGCACCTTGGTGGTGATTCTGATGAGCTTCGCCGAGCCTGCAAGGTCTTAAAGGTTGAGCCTTTCAATTCCGAGAAGAAAAAAATGTCGGTCCTTGTGGCTCTTCCAAATGGAAAAGTACGAGCATTTTGCAAAGGTGCACCTGAAATTGTGCTAGCAATGTGTGACAAGGGGATCAATGCGAATGGAGAACCTTTTCTTATGTCTGAAGAAGAAGTGAGTAATGTCTTGGGTGTGATCAATGGGTTTGCCAGCGAAGCTTTGCGCACACTCTGTTTAGCTTTCAAGGACATTGACGATGACTTTCATGGCAACAGCATTGCTGATCATGGCTATACTTTGATTGCAATAGTTGGAATAAAAGATCCCATTCGTCCGGGAGTGAAGGAAGCAGTTAAAGCTTGTTTGGATGCTGGAATCACCGTGCGCATGATCACTGGTGATAACATCAACACAGCTAAGGCGATTGCCAAAGAATGCGGCATCCTTTCTGACGATGATCGAGCTATAGAAGGTCCAGATTTTCGTCGCATGACTGAATATGACAGGAGTCTAACAATACCAAATCTTAAGGTTACATCTATGCAAATAAGGTGTGTGTATAACACTAGCTTTGTTGTTATTTCACCATGTTTGTTTCTTGAATGTAGGTTATGGGTCGGTCTTCGCCAAAAGACAAATATGATCTGGTCAAGATTTCTCGAAGCATGCTTAAAGAGGTTGCTGCAGTTACTGGTGACGGAACAAATGATGCTCCTGCGCTGCATGAAGCCGACATTGGTCTTGCCATGGGGATTTCCGGAACAGAGGTATGTTACACTTATTACATATCACCAAGCATCATGATATTCTGATATGTCTTTGTTCAGGTTGCTAAAGAGAGCGCCGATGTGATTGTGTTGGATGACAATTTTTCGACGATAGTAACAGTCGCGAAATGGGGACGTTCTGTGTACATCAACATTCAGAAATTTGTGCAATTCCAGTTAACTGTTAACATTGTTGCTCTCATGATCAATTTCATTTCTGCTTGTGCCTCAGGTATCCCTATCCTCCCAGCATCCTTTTCATTCAATGCTCTTATAGTAGTTATGGCAACAACATTAACCTTCTCTGTCCTTGCAGGATCAGCACCTCTTACTGCTGTGCAGTTGCTCTGGGTGAACCTAATTATGGACACTTTAGGGGCACTCGCACTGGCGACCGAACCACCACAAGACGAGCTCATGAAAAGGCCGCCTGTCGGGCGTAGCGAGAGTGTCATTACTGTTACCATGTGGCGGAACATCATCGGACAGAGCATCTATCAGCTGTCCATTTTGCTTGTCCTCAACTTCTGTGGGAAGCAAATATTAGGACTTACAGGCTCTGGTGCTACTGCTGTGCTCAATACTTTCATCTTCAACACCTTTGTTTTCTGTCAGGTAAACTCTCGGCGCTCATTATGTTTTTTTTTCTAGTGTGATTTCTGAGCCTTGTACTCTCTTGGTCGATCCAGGTCTTCAATGAAATAAACAGCCGTGAAATTGAGAAGATAAATGTCTTCCGAGGAATACTAAGAAACTGGGTATTCAACGGCGTAGTAGCTTCCACTGTTGTGTTCCAAGTGATGATAGTAGAATTCTTGGGAACTTTTGCCAGCACTGTTCCATTGAATTGGAAGCTATGGCTGCTAAGCGTTGCACTCGGTTTGGTGAGCATGCCTGTAGCCGTTGCCCTCAAGTGCATTCCTGTTAAAAAGAAGACCGATGCACAAGATGATGGATACCAACTCCTCCCTAGCGGCTCGGTTCTTGTTTAGCAATGCTGCAGGAGAAGTCGCCAAGTGCCGCCAAATAAGAATGAATGAATGAACTTTCTTCTTAACTGCCTAACGATGCCAGTAACTTGCTATTATGTAAAGGGCGCCTGTATATAATATATAAGTATGTAAATTAGCAGAAGAAACCAAATAAATTTCATGTTTATTGTCTTGGTCAGGTTTTGCTTACTCATCCCTGTCCTGATTTTGTTCTTATTTTGCAGTTTCCCCCAGGATTAAGGCCTGTTTCAGTCCTGCTCTTGTAAGTACATAAATGATAATATACTGTTTCCCTTATTTATATATTATAATGAAATATCCTATTCATCTAATTTAGCTGTTTTCACTCTTGGCATCCTTCAGGTCAGTCACTACTCACTACAATACGTACATACAGTGCAGCCAAGGACTTCCTACAAGTAAGCACTAAGCATTCTCTCATGTTGTGGAATTAAACCATGTTAGTAATATGCTTGAGATGTTTATTGCCATTTTTACCTTTTATGAGCATCATGAAATAAATACATCTAATGATGAATATGACTGTAATTAGAGGTACAACATCACAAGATCCAAGTCTAAACTTACTGACCTTTGCATGAACTATATGTATACTATAATTCGAGCTATTGCCTATGCTCATAGGGCTCTACTTGTATCTTCTCTTGGATTCTCCATATGCAACAACTCCCATAACAGTCATGGTGTAACCAAAAATGCCCATGAAGGTTACGGGGTTGTGGAATATTAGAATTGATATAACCACAGCCACAGCGCCCTTTGCGTTGCCCAAAACCTGGCCAGATTTCAGAAAGTAAGTTAGTTGGCAGATCATGCCTTTCTCAATGTAATTTACATACCAATGGCATTCAGAGTGCCCAAAACAAGATCACTAGTACAACTTAAGTCATAGTATGATCTATCTTTTATATAGGGTCAGATTTGAACAGCAGATATAAAGCTTCTCAGACATTGGATTTTAGATTCCAAATAACATCAGCCTGTGCAATTCATTAACTATCTACACCTTTCCTATGATCTTAGACATAAAAATTTATTGGCATCTTAAACATGATTGAGTGAGAGAGAAAGAGAACCTGAAGAGTAAGGGCACTAGTATGCTTTGTCACTAAAAAATTGCATAAGTTGGCTCCATAAGCCATTGCCGAGTTTAACAGAAGAAGAAACAACACAAACTTGTGCTCCAACCCAAGTGAAATGGCAACACCAAACACATTGGGTTCCATGAAAATGGCTACAGGGAGCAAAACAATAACAGCAATGGGCGACATATAGAGCATCAAATTCATGGAGTTCAACCTTTCCCTGCAATAATAATTGACATTCTTTGGAGTTAAAAGTGAACCTCAGTAGAAGATACAGGAAGGAATGCAATATGAGTTTCCTAAATGTTGTTACTGAAACTACCAATCATTGCCACAAATTCAAGAATTTCTCAGCTGCTAAGATCCAAATTCAATTCCAAAGTAAGAACACCACGCCTACTAAATCAGGGACAGGGGCAGCGCAAAGACATGAACTAGGAACAGAATGTAGATTTGCGAAATCTCTTTTCTCAATCTTGAGTAAGATACCCAAACAAAAGAAACCACAAAGCTATACAATCTTTGATTCTTTGCATATCCAATGAATGAATACTCACATTTTCTGATAATATTTCCTAAGAATACACACAAACAAGGGTAAGAAAATTTACCCTTCATTAGAGAGGAGGACACCTTGTAACACAGACTTGAACGCTCGAGCTGCAGTCGCACTAATGCACATGATAAATCCATACAAATGGAACCCCGGCTCACCCTGCAGCCGCAACCGCAACCAAAGTTTCAAAACTCATGAAATTCTAGAAACAAAAAAAATCAACACCAGAAAACGTCAGGATGCTTATTTTGTGTAATGAAATTTTCAAGCCACATGTACTCCAATTCAATATCAGCCTAAACAGCAACATGTGATTGCAGCAAAATCAGCTCATAATCGATCCTTTTTTCTCAAGAAGTAAGCACTCAATTGGAATTGATTTTCACACGACAATAACCAGATCCATACCAACAAAATCAACCACCAAAAAGTCGTAGATCTGATCTTCATTCATTCAGTCAAGAATATGTAGTTTCCTCTTCTAAATCACCACCACGAAAATCATAATCACGCAACAGGGTAGGGAGCAGATTGATTTTGCGTTGCAAAATCGAAGTGAATTGAAATGGAAAGCATAAACAGAGACAGAGAGAGAGACGAGACGTACATACCCCACTGGCAATGACGACTCCAGTGACAACAGGCACGAGGCAACCATAGGTGACCCAGGCCTCTCTCTTGAGCGTCATAAGATATGCGAACAGCGCCGTGAAGAACGGCGTTGTGGCACCGACAGCTTGGTTGAAGCTGACGGGGAGATACCTGAGCGAGATGTTCCCGCCGACGACGGAGGCGCAGAAGACGATGCTGAGCGTGGCGATCCGAATGAATTGGTGACGCGATTTGATGCGTTGGACGGGGACGATCTTGAGGAAGATTATGGAGACGTAGCTGAGGACGGCGCAGGCAGACATGTGGCACATTGTGAGGAAGATTGGATAGGCGAATCCATAGTTGGATAGGAGGAATTTGTTGAGGAGGAGGACGCCGATGTTGGTGGCGTACCACAGCACGATCAAAGAGGTGATGAATACCGCCTGCTTCCTCGACGCCGCCGAGTGAGCAGCTGCTGCCGACATTTTTCTTTGTTTTTTTTTTTATATAAGTTGTTCAACTCGGAAACCAACAATGGCGGCAGTGCCTGCTGCGAATGAATATATTCAATGGAGGAGCAATAGCAATAGCATAGGCATAGCAGTTAGGCGTGACAGGGAAGGGAAAATGGTGTGAGAGTGGAGGAGTGTGGGAGGAAAGGAAGAGAGAAGAAGGAATGAATGCGTGAATTTGGCCACCGAGATACACGCACATAGACATAGCATACACACACAGGGTTGTATCTATAATATTTAATTTTAGATAATATTTCCATAAATATGTTTTGTTACTAGTTACGTACTCTTAAAAAAATAATAATAGTAATAAAAGCAAAAATTAATTTTAACTTCATTCAAACTTTTTTTTTTTTTTTTTTTTGGTTCTACTTAAAAAATAATTATGAAAATTAGTTTCATCCAAAATATTCTTATCATTTGTAGTTTTACCGTTCAAAATTTTAACAGTATTAGCTTATGTGGCTGTTACATATAAGATTTGGCTGCTACATACACTTATTTGGCTGCTAATTCAGAACGAATACGCCTGTGTTCAAAACAATAGCTCATCCTCGAATATTGTATTATATTAAAATATATATATAATTTAAAAATTTTAACATAAAATTATAATTGCTTGTAAATAAAAATGACCTTAACTAAACATGAATACAATTGACCGTGGCGTAATGTTGAAACTATATAATAGTATATGAATAAATTACACATGATAAAAGAAAAAAAAAAAAAAGACAATGCATATATTATATTAATATAATACAAATATGTTATATGAATCAGCAATATACCATAGAGGGATAAACAACAAATGATACAATAACAAACAAAATGATATAGAGATTAACTGACAAAATATAATTATGCTAACACTGAACTCAATATAGAGATACAACACCTATACATATTGTACTAAATGAAAAATAGTGGTGTAGATATGGACTTATGAGTTAGATTTGTTATATTATTATGTTTGAAAAAGTAAAAATCAATATGTAAATATTATTTTTTATTTAATATTTATTTACAATAATAAATGATACTAATTTTATTATATTTTTATTCTTTATTCTTTTTAATTACTAATTAAATTTTAAAAAATACTCATTATTTTTTTACTATTTTAATACCGAATAGAGTAAATATGATGGAGTGAGGGAGTATTGTTCTTTGTTATAAAATATCTATGAAGTCAAACTATTATGTAAGTTAACTTTACTCTTCAAGTTGGAATACTATAATACTATAGGATTCATTCTAATTAGAGCTATGAAATGGAAGATGAATTATGCCTTGAGCCTACTTCCAGTACTATAGCAACTTCAACTTGTCCATTCATTATTATATACTATTTGTTTATAGTTGTTGGCTGCTTGCTCAAATATATACATAGTATTATTTAAAGTTTCCCATTACGTGCTCAACATGATAAATAACTCTCTACAACTATTTTCCATTGTGTACACATCAAAACACAACTTTTTTATATATATAAATCAAAATTTTTAATGCATAATACAACTATTTCTCATGCTTCATAATCTTACAACGGAGCAGAAGACTATATGAATCATTCATTTTAATATTAAATATATATATATATTAAAAAATAATTAATTTCCAATATCAATGGCTGCCAAACCTAGTCTGCTAATGGAACTACAAAAGTAAAAAAAAAAAAATGTTATAAATAGTTGAAATAGTAATTTAGTCCGCCTATGAATTTATGATACAAGCAAAAATATAAACCTCCTGTTGCATACTTCTCCGTTCATATAAAATGAACAAAAAATAGGAAAAAAAAAACAAAAAGAATATATCTATCAAAATTCTTTGAAGTTGTGTGAAAAAGGAGATTTTGTTCCAGTTAACACACTCATAAATAGTGTGCTAAATATTCAGAATCTACTATAGAGCTGCTATACAATCAGTTTCATGGAATAAACCCTCCAAAAGCTCAATTTTACAAGTCTACTATACAAATCTGCTCTCAACTTTCCTCCTCCCACAAAAATTTGCATTCTTCAATCCCGACCGAGCCAACAAAGGCGTTCCTGTTTCAGTAGTAGACAGTTCTGAGCAGCAGTGTTGAATGATGTTAGGAAGGGGGTGTGAATGCAGGTTCGATGTTCTCATTTACGCTCTTTGTTGGTCTTTTCAATCTCTTCGGCCTTTGCTGTACGGTGTCGGTGTTCTGTGGGGGCTCATCAAGCTCATAGTCCATCATGGCTGCATTTGGCGAAGTTGGGTCGCCCTGTTTGGAACCCTTCTGTGCCCTTGACTTAGACTGTGTTTGCTTCTCGGTTGCAGCTTTCCTCTGCACAGATTTATAGGCATTAGTTGGTTCGGAATATAATAATAGTAGAGTTTATTTCTATACACAAAACCCATGCTCTTGGAGGAACATCGCACAAACAAAATCAATAAATTTTCTTCGCTTTTGGAACACAAATTCATGTCTCTGCTCAAAATACTGAAGAGGAGTAACAACAAAATGTCAGTTTTCATTTTTTTGGAAATTTATAGTGAATAATTTTATCTACTCACAATTTATTACCCCTGTTTAACACATAATAACCAATTCATCACTACTTTGTCTACCTTACGATTAATTTATAACTTCTTAATAAATTTCTCACAGTACCCTCATAGTACTTTTAACCTACCATACTTGTATATTGAAGTACTACTTAGTTTTCAGTTTCCGAATCCATACAAAGTAGCATAAGAATCACTGGGGGGGGGGGGGGGAGGTGTAGGCATAATATAGAGGAAAATCTAGTTATACTATTCAGTCAAGTAGTATAGACTTGATTTATTACCTTTTTACTGCTCGACTTCGACTTATCATGATCAGGGGGCTCATAATCCTTATCTAGTTCGTAGTCCTCCAAAGATGCTCCGCCTTCAGCATCAATCCGTATGCCCTTTGAGCTGCTGCCTTTCTTCTTCTGTCTATCTTTTGCCTGATCACAGTCATGAGGCCAAAATTTTCAAAAAGCTCAGGCATTCGATGTTAAATCTATAATATAAAGAAATTGGTCACAGTATTAAGCTCAAAAGCACTACCCACCTGTTGTGACACTTCTTTTAGTTTCTGCTCCAGCTGGGTATCATCAATCAATAGTGACACGACATCTTCTGGTGCTAAAAGGTCACCCTGCACATGACCGCCAGTCATGACAAGCTGTTGGACAGTGCTCTTCTGACTGGCTCTCTGTAGAATCTTTTCCTCTACAGTCTCTTTACATATTAGACGATACACAGTTACCTACACAGCAGAAAGATGTCTTTCAGAATGGGAATCAAGCAAACTTGACTTAATAAAGAAAGACAAATTTTTCAATCAGAATTAGCATGAGATAGAGTTGGAAAAAAAAATAAAAACTGCTGCTATAAAACTGGCAAAATATCAGAAATTGAACTGCTTGTTCTTAGCTCCAAGAGATGGTAAAGGTATAAGAAACTGACATCCTTAGTTTGGCCCAGACGATGAGCTCTATCCATTGCTTGCAAATCCAAAGTTGGATTCCAATCACTTTCATAGAATATAACAGTGTCGGCAGCTGTCAAGTTAATTCCAAGCCCACCAGCTCTGGTGCTCAGCAAGAATACAAAGATGTCACTCCTGACAGAAAAAAATGGCAGACAGCTTAGGAAAGGGTGTGTCCAAAAAATAAGAGATATAAAAAATATATCAAGCACATCACATAACTGCGCACCTATGCTGGAAATCTTTCACCATATCTCGACGATCCATAATTGTGGATGATCCATCAAGCCTCAAATATCTGTACTTCCTGTAATTCATATAGTCCTGCAAACAATGTGGTAGTATCAATGGTAAATTAGTAAGAGCACTAAGAGAAGTAATGATATGCTGATTTGAAGAATAAATTTATTAATTCTAAATAAATAACAATATAAACAACCACTTAACCAATCAAATTTGTGTAAACGTAACATAATTTAACACTGAATACAGGTTAAAAGTGTAGGCAGGAAGCCTTGGGCTTCCAAGAAAAGAATATCAGTATCACCAATGGCTGATTAGTAAAAGAGACTCAGATTTAAACAATGGTCCACAATTAGCATGACGCTATTTCTCAGTAACCTCTCAATGGAGTAATATTAAATAAATGGTTAACCCTGCGGAATGCAGCTAAGCATGATGCTATTTCTCAGTAACCTCTCATGGTGAAGAAATGATACTTTCAGAAAACCTATTCCATTTGTTACTTGTGTAAGTTATTTTACAAATTATATGTAGTATATTTCTATACAATATTTATTTCTTTTTTCAACTATTTCTCACACACATCTACATCTATTTTGTCGTCAAAGATGAAGGGCATTTTAGCTAGGAAATAGGAAAGAGTTTGCATTTTTTATTTTTCAAATGGTAGACTATGACAAGAGTGAAGTAAAATATACCTCTAGGATATTAAGCATTTTTGTCATTTGTGCAAACAGAAGAACACGATGATTTTCAGCACGCAGACGCTTTAGCAATATATCAAGTGTCTGAAGCTTTCCCGAGTCCTGGAGAAACAGAAAACATGTTATATCATAAAGGTCCACTTAACTCATGAAGCAGTTAAAAGAAATGCATAGTTATGAAGAACGCACTGTGAGCATCTTCGCAGGGTCAAATGGCTGCATCGGTGGACAAGATCCAAAAACATTATATGTAAGCTGTAGAGCTGGCTGTGAAATAGGTAACTCAGCATCAATCTCTTGAATCAATGGGTGAGGGGCTGTTGGCATTTTTGGGCCATTAAAGTTGGATGTCCGAGCAAATCCAACCAATAATCTCTTAAGCCAGGGATGATGCCACTCTTCAGTCATTTTGTATGCACACTCTCTATCAGAACAACGGACATTTATCTGGTTGCAAAGAAAAGCATTCATACAGGCTTCGGTATTTATTATACATAAAAATCTCACTATTTTAAATGTCACAAAGCATAATGATTTCTATTAGCACTTACAGGTGGTGCTCTAGTCCTTGGGATGAAAGAGTATACTGAATGTATTATCTTGACATTAGATAGTATCCTATCTTGATAAGGCATGACTAGAGACTCAAAAAGAGCACCCGTAGGACCTGTTGCAAGACTTCTTTGGAGTAAATTTGCCTGCGACTTACACGGCATTAGCAGCATCCGTGTGACTGCTCTGACCTTCTCTGTGCCAATGTCATTGCTGTCATCAGTCTCCAACATCATGTCCAATATTCCATCCAGAAATTGGCGATCTGACCTCAAAACTGAGAACAATAACCTCTCCATAAAAGAACTAGTGGCCAAGTACGACATTTCTGCTGGCGACAAATCAATAAGACGGGAGAATCCAAATGCTTCACTTTGTTGGAGAGAAGAATTGTAGATATTCTCAGGAGAAAATATGTTAAAAAGCTTCACAAGTGACTTCCCGCATAATCTTCGGTCAGATTCTAAATAATGAATTTTCGAGGCCTCACCCACTTCTTGGTACACCAACTTTGGCATCTAAAAGAGTTGGAACAAATATTTGTTATAATTTGAATACTTTAGTACTTCACATGGCAATACACTCATTATACTCTTGATACTTGGATCATACAAGTAACTCAAGGAACTAACCTTATCCTACAAATGAACTTTTTGCATGATATTCAAAGTATATGAAAAATCACACAAAGAAATCCCCATGTTAAGAATGACATGTTTAAAGAAACATGAATGTAAGTTTTGAGAAAAATGAATCCCAGATCTTCCTTACTCCATTGAGCCGTAATATTGTTTCACATAGAAGTTGAAAGCAAAGAACCCTTGAGTGGTTAATAGTAAATGTGTGTTTAAACTTTGATATTTTATCTTAGTCCATATTTATCCTTGAGTCAACACTGGATAACAGAGTATTTGCACATACTCATCATACTCAATGTTCTTCTATGAAATATTAGGGTTGCAAAGCAGAAGAATATTACTAAAAAATAGTAGCTTGCAATTACCTTATAAGAGATAGGATTTCTAGCTCCAGAATAGAAAATTACTTCCAGTTCACCAAAGGGAGGAGGCAAAAGAGAATTCGGAATCTCTCCAAAATAGAAGTATGTGCTTCCCTCATTTCTCTCAAATAATTCTGGGTGATTGCACACCTGAAGTGTAGAGCAAAGCACCACAGTAAGACATCAGTTAGGAAGTAAAATAAGTCCAGAAATCTCCCTATATACATGCAAAACATGCACACACATATAAGAGAGACTTCCTCCACCTAATATTCAGATTTCCCTTTCCAGTTTAAGGAAGTCCACAAGTTATTAATCCATTCTATATCACAAATTATGTATAACAATCTTTGCTGAGCAAAGGATTGGATGGTGAAATCAAAAGCACAGCCTTGTGTGTTCAAAGTGACATCTCTTATTCAAATGAAACTTAACATAGAATCCACCATACAATCAAAATCACTACCTTCCTCAGCTGGATGACAATGTTCATCAGATTCAGAATTTTTTTCTCATTAAGATGCCCACGGTTTCCATCGAACAACTCAGCAAGGGAAATCTTGTTCTTTATAGCTTGATAAAAAGCTTGTTGGCGCGAACTTAATATACAGTGCACTGTAATTTCAGTTTTTCCTGTCAGTTCCGAGATCACATCCTTCTTAACCCTCCGCAGCATGAAAGGTTTCAGAATTGCATGCTGTTCCAGAAAGTTGGGTAGCCACCAGAGTAAGAATTAAAAGAAATCAGATCATATAATATATATCCAAAATTTAACTAAGTAAAATACATCGGGCTTCAAATTTTACAACAAAGAAACATGTGAAGAAACTTTAGCTTTATCCATAATAATCCATAACTCAATTATAGAATGGGTAGACCATAAGGTTAAAAATTATTAGTGCAGATGATTTGCATTTTCAGAATTGCATGCTGTTCCAGAAAGTTGGGTGGACAACACCGTAATAATTAAATGAAATCAGATCATATATGATATATCCAAAATATAATTAAGTAAAAGACATCGGGTTTCGAATTTTACAGCAAAGAAACATGAGAAGAAACTTTAGTTTATCCATAATAATCCACAACTAAAATATAGAATGGGTAGACCACAAGATTAAAAATTATTAGTGCAGATGATGTGCATTTCTTGTAACAATCATTTAATGGTCTGTCCAAAAAAAAACAACCATCACATGACACCTAAAAATAGCTGCTATAACATTATGGAGCCATTGCACCGACAGTAATGGCAAAAAAGTAACGTGCACAATGTGCTCTGCAGTTAACACAACTTCCCAGACTGAGATATTAAAATCATGCGTTAATCCAGTGCTTACCAATCGATTCAGCTGGTGTTCATTCAACGTCCCACCATGCTCTGCATGACCCTCAATTCTGTAATAACAGAGGAAATAATGAGGAAATATAAATGAAAACTTGGAGAGGTTTACACCTTTGAGGAGAAACATACCCCTTTGAAAACCACTCATTGAACTGCTCATGGTTATCAAACAAAGTAGGCATAATAAAATGTAGAAGCGCCCATAGTTCAGCCATGTTATTTTGAATTGGTGTACCAGTCAGCAGTAATCGGTTTCGACAATTGAAACTGAGCAGTGTTTTCCATCTTATGCTGCAATCATAACACGAACATTGTTATTGAAGATACATTTAAAATTGTTACTCCATGTATATAGGTATACACGATTTAATAGTTAAGCTTACAAAAAAAATCCTAAACTAAAACACCACCAACAATTAATTATTGAAATTTCAGTTAAAATGATAAACCAGCATGTCTCAAAGGTGTGGTAGTCAAGAATAATATCAAGTTAAACAAAAAGAAGAATCCACAAAATTCATTAAAAAATAAAATAAAATAGAAAATTGATAATTTAATCATGCATAACAAAACCTCACTTTCTCGACTGTGCACAAAAGCTGATATGGTTTACTTTTTGTCTTTCATCAATTTGTTCTCATTCTAGTTGCACCCTCAACAACAAAAGTTCCTAAAACATTAAATCATTGCATACTTCCAGCATATGGGGCAATTTAACAAGACAGGAATTGCACACTTAATAACCATTATAGCACTCAACAGCTTCGGTGATCAATCACACAAGTTAATAGGCACACAACACATGGTGAAAATATTTATAGGTGTCTGGTACAAAATACATGGAACATTAATCAAATTGCAATTTTATTGTATGGCTTATAACTTGACAGGCAATAAATATAAATGATCTAACCTGTTTGAACTCTTGATTGCCTGGGCTTCATCCAACACCATGTATTGCCATTTTACACGTCGAAAATACTTTTCATCAGAAACTAACAGCTGGTAACTAGTAATGAGAATGTGAAATCCAGCCTCCCTAAAAAGTTAACAACAGCCGTTAGTAAAACCAACATCACCATCTATTGAATTTTTTAAGCCAGAAAAATGACAATGTCTGACACCCAATCCTTTTCAAGTTATCAGTCAAAGTCTGAATTATAGAACATAGATCTTCTCAATTTCCCATGGCCATGAAATATGAGACCAGTCACAGCACATATGGATCTTCCAAAATTGACAATAATTACCCAAGTTGATAAAAGTGATTATTTCAAATTATCACAGAGGCAACATTAGTGACTTATGCAACATGGTTTGAAAGCTACCCCAGCTACTATTTGTACCAGTACATGGTTCATAATATGCACTTAAGCAGACTTTCATGGTACATAAAACATATTGGAAACTGTAGTTACAGCAGATTGTATTTGCATTATTAGGCATATTTGGTCTCTCATGACCATACCATGAAACATGATGTAGAATAACGTGTACCAGTAAACCTTACAATTAATCTAAAAGGTTACGAATTTAAAGTGCATTATCAGGTAAGACCAAACAACCTGTTGAAGCAACAGCCAATCAAAATTAAAGCCAAGGGGACCTTGAAAACAGTTGATCACCTTCGATAGAGACGTTTTGGATTTATGTTTTTCCTAAGTATTGTACGCTCCTGAAGACCACCCCAATATGGAAGAGTCTTCAAGTCAGGGCAAAAACGACTGATTTCATCAGCCCAGTTACTCAAGACAGAAGCAGGGGCAACAACCAAAAAAGGCCCCCAAATATTTTTTTCCTGCACAGGAGAACTGGTAAGTAAATCAATGAATTAGATATAAAATCTCAAAATATTGATTAATACCTCAGCCAAATGAGCCAAGAATGCCATGGCTTGAATTGTCTTGCCCAAGCCCATTTCATCAGCAAGAATACCATTCAAGCCCTGAAAAAATAAAAAATAAAAAATAAAAAATGTAAGATTCTATCTGGTAGAATATTAAAAATGGGCATTGGGCATCTTAGTACCTGTTCATAACAGTTTACAAGCCATTGAAGACCTTTCAACTGATATTCTTTGAGAGAGCCCTTAAACAGCTCAGGTGTCTGCACCGTAGATGCCACGGGCATAGTTGACCTGATATCAGTGTCATCATATATAATTAGATAGAATCATAGAATGCATAAAATATCCTGAAGATGTTATGTCTGCCTATAATTCTGGCAACTAAAGAATGCAAGGAAAATTGTTTAGAGATCAAAGATACTGACGGGTGCAGTAAATCAATGTTACTAGACTCAGCAACTGAGGGATCTTGAGTAAGACCCTCAACATCTGAAACTTGTCTCAGCTTCAAGCATTCATTATCAAAAGCACTTGTCATTCTTTTCTGCTTTGAAACTGCATCCTGCGCTGCTAGGAGAGCTTCTTTTCTGAGTTCAGCATCCTCGGGATCTTCATCCTCCAGCCTAGTTTCTGAAGAAATTGGAAGCATTTTTTGGTCATCAGACCTTTCGTCATCTACTGCTAATGCTTCAGATGCTTGTGCAGTCTTATTCTGCATAAAGTGACTGTAAAGCTCAGTCTGGGACAGCAGAAAGTTGAGTCTTTGCTGTTGCCTTTTGGCTTCACGAAGCTCCTGTTCTCGCTTCAAAGCTTCTGCAGCTTCCTTTTCCTCTCTCTTCCGTACCTCAGCCTTTAAGAGGACAAGTTCACAGAAAAGAATTTCATTATGCAACTTACTATACAAATTAGAGATGTGTGTGTTACCAAGAGCCATATTGCAATTAAAATATTCTTTTTAATCACAAAGAATGACCAAGTATTCAGGAAAAAACATGTTTTTACCATAACTGGTATTATCACACAAGAGATGTATCGGCATGCTAAAATCCAAAGAAACAAAACAGAACACAAAGTCAATAAAAAATATACCATTTCTTTGTCAACCCTCTTCCAAAATACTAACATGTCTCTGGCTATCTTCCTTGTACGGATTGAAGCACCTTTCATAAATTTCAGGGATCTGCTGACCTTCATTTTAACCTGAAAGATAGAAGCAAGTTCCACAATTTTAGCTAAGGTTCAAGAATAATTTCAAAAACTTACCATTTAGATAAAGAAAATGACAAAGACAAGAAATTCCTCCAGTAAAAACTACCTCTCTTTGACAGGTTTCAGAAATCCGCTTCGCATCGGTATATTGTTTTCTGTGAAAGTTGGTGAAAATTCGGTGATGCTTTGGAATTTCTTTCCTAGCTATATTGACCCAATGTTTGCTAATCTTTTCCATTTCTTCCCTCTGAATTACAGAAGGGTCCTTCTTCACCTTTGGTTTCTTTGGTAAACTGCGTTCAATAATCTGCAATAACATGCATTTAAGCTTAAATGATGACCACACAACTCAATTGTCTATAAACAAGCATGATGAAATTTAACTTATCTGACCTCATATGTATCCCCTTTCTCCAAAACTTTCACATAGTTAACCTGCAATGTACCACCTTCAGATAAAATGAATCTCCTGATCCGCCCCACTGCCCCTTCTGGAATGCCATTGGATTGCAATGCTTCTTCAGTTATTTTCAAACTAAAGTTTTCAGCAGAGACATTGCCCTGCTGGGCCCTCAATTTGTCCTGAAGAGATTCGTATTGGGGCTTGGGATCAGCCATTCCTGCTCTGACTCTCCTCTGAAACCTGTAATCAGAAGCTATCATTGCATCCAATGAACCCAAGTCGAGGGTACCCTTCAAGTAAAATTCCTCCACCCGTATATCTGACATGCTTGGCAAATTTAGAGATGAGGACAGTTTTTCATACGGAAGAGGAATTCTATAAGTGATGCCATCTCCAATATCAAGAAAGGCAGGCTCGAGATTGGGCCTGCACATATTTTTTAGAATACCCAGTGAATAAAGTTGTAAGTTCAGAAGCATCATGTAAACTACGTACTAACAGAGATAAAGCTTCCTACACTAAATATTCAAAAAAAGTTGTAAGTTCAGAAGCATCATGTAGACAAAGTTAGTATTTATCATGTGATTCCTCCAACAGTATATAGATCGGAGAGCTTATTTTGCTTCTGTCACGTATTTTAATGGAAAGCTTCACACATACATTCAACAATCAAATTACATAACGATTGGTATGGATGCACATTGCTTAGTTGAGAGATTATAAACTTAAATGTCGAAAACAGAATTTGACCTTCAAACGTATCTTGCCAAAAGCTAATATACTCCAAATATAAAATTGTCATGGTTGCAAATGGGAGAGATTCGCTCAAGATCAAGATGCTAAGCTTTTCTCTACTTATTGCCACGTAAAAATCATTAATGGAAACAAGGCATTAATATATTATTTAATAGACAACATATAACACTTCAATTCAATAATTTTACTAAAGCTCATTAATAAAACAAAGTTGAAACCTGCAAATTTTCCAAAAAGATGTGTCAAATGTTATCATTACTAAGAGTATTGCCCATACATGGTGAAAATAGTGGTAAGGAAACAAACCTAGAAGAACCATATGGCAGCCCAGAATCTGGTTCTTGATAATTTGTCTTCAGGGAGTTACTGCCGTTGAAAAAATCTGAAGTAGCTTCAAACTTGTGCAATCCTCTATTATCATTTGCTAGCTTATTATCTTTATTCTTTGTTCCCGTTGTCCCAATTCTTGTTGTCACGGGATTTTGCTGCGACGAGTAATTCTGTCTCCTTTTGTATTTCTGGATGTGATCTCCAAGCATTGCACGATATCGCTCCTCCGAAATATATGGACTATATGTACCAGCTTCTTCCTCATCGCTGCTATAAGTGTTCAGCCTCTGCTTCTTCTTTTTGGATCTTCTCTCAGCCATCTTACCATTCATATGCTCACCAATTGCTCCTCCTAATCACAACAAATATAATAAAATGCAAAATCACCATGCGCAACAAGAAATTTGTTGATTAAACATATGCCCTTGCCGAGGTTTAGGATGAACCTAAACCCCAAATTTAAACCCTTCCATTCACATGAATGAACGCAAATTCCCTACCTTGGCTACCTCTGCTCTCGTCCTGACTACTATTTGCATAATAATCAAAATCCTTGTCTTGTTTCGGCAGTTGAAAGTTCATCAAAGGCTGACAAAACAAAGCCAGAATCAATACCAAGAACAACCAAAAAACAAACCATGCCAATTTATCAAAGAAAATTCAACATACCCAAATAGCAGTCCCGAAATTACAACAATCCCCAATTCAAAAACAATATCCCGACGCAATTGATCCCCAAAGCAATATCCGCAGGGCACAATTGCCCAAGAACAAAAAACACCATATACAATTTGAAAAGCACATACATAAAGTACCTCGAGATTGAACAACTTTTCATAAGAATAATTCCACCTTGAGTCCATAAGCCCTCTCACCGACTACGCAGCAACGAAACCAGAATCCGACGGCGAGCATTGGGGTAGAACGGCGAACAAAAGGAGAAAATTCTGCGGCCGGAGAAAAGTTGTGGAGAGACGAGGAGACGATGTTGAGGAAACCCTAGCCCTAGAATGAAAAGGGGTGTGGGTGTGAGCGTGGGTGGGACGGTCGAAAGGGATAAGGGGAAGAAGGAAGTGAGGGCGGACATAGGTGAAGTTGTGCATCTGGTGTTTGCTAACGTGAGCCGGTTTGAAAGAGAGGGGCGTGAACGCACGCGCCTGCCTGCCAACACTGTCACCCTTAGGTTTTTCTCTCCTCTACAAGGCCTCTTGTTCCACCCTTTATTTTTACATGTATATATATATATATATATTTATAACGTAGTACCTTCTAGTATCAAATATAGTGCAAATATTTGTATTAAATAGAATAATTTGATAATTAAGTAATATAATAAAAGAAAAATATATATATTTATTTGAATGATGTAATAGAATTAAGTGTAAGATGTTTAAATATAATTAATTATTTTTTATTTTAAAAATATTGACTTAGGACAGAGCAAAAGTATTACGTGGTATTTTGAACATATGAAATACTTTTTTTATGACATTATAGTTCATACGACTTTTTATTTTAGTATGTCTTATATAAATTAGGTTAATGTTCTTATTTTTAATAAATTTATTAATATTAAATATATTTAATAAATATAAATAAAATTAACATCACACGTAGGACTATTTAAAATTATTTAAATTTTTTTCTTCCATTTAATTTAATTAAATTTCTAACATGAACTAACAAACTTGAAAATTTCTTTATTTCTATCTCTCTTTAATAAATAAGTTTTTATTATATTTAAAACTTACTATTTTTTACACAAAAAAAAATAAATTATGTTAATTATAAGTAAATAAAAATATTTTTTTGCTTTGTTGTGTTATATAAAATTTTATTCTTTATAAAATGATATTCATATATTTTAGTATTTAAAATATATTTAAATACATATTCTAAATTTTTTATCATATATATTACTATATTCGTCTCACATACCTTGTCTGCTACATATTTTAGGAGGGATGTAATTAGTAGATAATTAAGAATGTATTAGTGAAAATAATTATCTTATAATATAAATAATTATAAATTAACATTAAGATAATTAATTAGTTTAATTAAAATCTAAAAAAAAAATTAAAAAGTTTAAATTGAAATTAAAGTGTGTAATTATTTTAAAGTGACATAGTATGTGGAACGGACAAAAACGGGCAACATGGACATGTCCCCCTTCAATTTCAAACATGAACGAACAAACATGAAAATTTCTTTATTTCTATCTCTATTCAATAAATAAGTTTTTATTACATTTAAAACTTACTATTTTTAACAAAAAAAAAGGTTAATTATAAATAAATAAAAATAATTTTTTTTACTTTGTTCTGTTATATAAAATTTTATTTTTTATAAAATGATATTCATATATTTTAGTATTTAAAATATATTTAAATCATATATATTAATTTTTTTTAAAAAAAAATACTCCCTTTGTTTCCCAATCTTCTCACGGTTACAAGTCTAATTCCTACACCACCAGGCCATTACGTGAATAGCTTTAAAAGAATTTTGTAGTAGATCAAATAAATAAATAAAAGAAAAAAAATACAATACTATTGATAAATAAGTTTGTGAAAGGTGAAATTGTTTTAAATACCTTATATTTATATAAGATGTAATAATATATAGGTAAATGGCGGCGGTTATCGTGCTGAATTTAAAATTCAGCATTATATATATTAATATAATACATGAACTAACATGACATATTATAATCTCATATAATACACGCAATAGTTATTTTAGCATATGAAACACTCTTATACAACACAGTTGTAATTATGAACAAACAATACATGTCTTTTATTACACACAACATGTAATGTATGTTATAAAAACATGTGATGTTTGTATACTATTATGCGTGCTAATTTGCAATACTGATTTTTTCAAATAAACACTGTAATCATTCCCGTCGGTAAACATAAATAAAAAAGAAGATAAATTGATAATTTATTGAAAGCATAAATTAAAATAGATTATTTAGGGTGTGTTTGTTTTGTAAATAATGCGAAGAGATATATTTTTTATGTGAGGTATAAAAAAAAATTATAAATAATATAAAAATAATTAATATATGTAGCATATTAAATTTTTTGAGAAAAATATTTATTCTTCTTTTGCAAAAAGAACACGCCTTTAGATTAGATAAAAAGTGAAACTATTTAAGTGGTATGGATCAGACATTTTTTATTTATAAAATAAATAAAAATCAATATGAAAAATAAATATAATGAAACATAGCAATAACATAAAAGTAATTTTATATCATGAAACATGACAATATAAAATTTTGATATCTATACAATAAAATATGGCATAATGCATGTCATGGCACCTATATCATATATGTTATACTACTCCCCTTTTAACTGTCATTTAATTACAACTAATACCGCTCATTAAAATTTTACTAGAAAAAAAAAATTAGTGGGATAAAAATCTTAGTAAAAGAAAAGAAGTACGACATTCATGTTTTTAAAATTGCTCCAATTTTCTTTATAAAAACACATGGAAAACAGAATCATGGGCATATCCTTCCTTCATTAATGATTCATTGAGACAATTATATCACATGCAATCAAATTGTTTGAGCTCATACAAAAACTTACATAATGTAATATAATAATATTTTTTTGACTTTGATTTGTTTGATTCAGACGTACTGAATCTTTTAATGATTTGCATATAGATATCAGTATATAATTAGCCATATAAATAAACAATTACGATGCCCATCAGACGCATATCCAAGTTTTCATAAACTGCCAAACTAATAAGATATCAAAATATCATTTCATCAATTACTGGAGAATAAATACCATTAAAACCGATTCCAGGTCTTTATGAAAAACTTTAGGCAACAAGTCTTGCTTTATATATGGCAATTTCATTGTTCTTATTTCGTTTTTGAATAAATATCCATATATAGTCAAGTGGCTTAACATTTTCAAGTGTTTCTACAATGAGTCTGAAAACTTTGTTTTTTCACCAAATTCAATTTGAATTGGATCGTATATTTCTATTTTGGTCAATCTTTTCTTTTCCACCATTCATCAACTAATTTAGTTTAGGATCATCGTCATTTTCTATTAAATCAAGTGCTACATCATATATATAAAATTATTATTTATAATTATGTCTTTTCGGTTTCAATATTTTCCAATAGTAACATAATTTATTGGATTTTCAATAACTTCATTATTTTCAAGGTTCATTAGAGCTTCTTCAGGAAGTTTATTAGAATCAACTTCTTAAGTAATTTTATCCATGTCACTACTCGTTTTGTGAGAATTTTGATTAGCATTTAATTCTTCAATCCTTTCATTTTTCTTCTTTTCTTTCGAGGAATTTTATCTTTGTAGCTTAAAGGTCTGCTAAGGTTCAGACGTGCATTAGATTTAATAGCACTTTGCATTTGTCCTTTAAGGACAATAATTTTAGCCGGTGCATTCTTTTCAGCTATATATGATCTTGTGACTATGTTGGCGTCAATAAGAGAATTAGGTAACTGATTTGCTATTTGCTACAAATGTACAGTTGTTTGCACTTCTAATTCATTTTGCCTATTACGAGGATTAAGAAAATTAAAAATTATTTTTCAAGTAATTTTCTTTTTCAATTAATTAGTATATTTCCCTAATGTCGAAAAATACAACTCGTCAAATTGGCAATCAACAAATTGAGCTGTAAACAAATCATCATTTAATGGTTCAAAATATTTAATAATAAACGATGATTCATAACTGACATATATCCCTAATTTTTGTTGGGGGCCTATTTTTGTTCATTAAGGAGGTGTTAGTGGCCCACATATGTCACCGTGATTTTTTTCTAAATATACAGGGGGTTCACTTCTAATTTTTGCTACTGATGATCTAGTTATTAACTTTTATTTTGAGAAAACAAAATATTTCAACTTATTTATATTTAATATCTTTTGATTTTTCAAAGTATGACTGATAACTCCAAATAATAGCATATTTATCGCTTGATAAAACTATATATTTCCTTAATTTTTATGTGAATATCATCACAATATTTGATTCATGACATACTTTATTGATTTATTTCGCTGGTATGATCCCAAACCGACTTGATATGATACCATCACAATATCATTTTTATGTATATTTCGCCTTTGGTAGAATGACTGACTTTAGGTAGTCAAATTGATCATTCAAATTTATCCACAATTCAAGTGAATTTTTTATAGGTATTCTATTTTCAGAACTTCATCAATGTGATGATGAAGGATAATCATTGCCTTTACACGCTATTGGCTTGTGCATACATTCTCCTTAATTATTATTTTTGTAAGTCCTATAGATTCATAGTACATTTAAATATTCATCACCCACAACATATAATTACTTTCGATAATAGCCAGTGGGAGAATTTAAACTTTGCTATGTTAGACATAATTATATTGAAAAGAATTAAATAAATACCTTGAACATTTTGAAAGGGCTTCATACAAAAATTTTCTTCGAACGCAATTTTCGTAATCTATTTTATCGAACTCCAAAAACACACAAAAAAATATATTATCTTTATATTGGTACTTCATCGACAAACTCTTGTGCTGATAACGTGTGTGTTTGTTGTATTTTAGAGAGAGAGAGAAATTGATACGGTAGATAAAGACTTTATGAAGTAAAGTATCTGTATTAATTTGAACAATAATTATACTATTTATGGAATTTACATAAGGTGATTAGTCATAAAAAAATGAGATTACATGGGAATATAAAATTTTGACTCTATGCAATAAAATATGGCATAATGCATGTTATGACACTTATATTATGGATGCATCTTATTATTAATATACGCATCATTTATATTAATATAATACAAAGATAACACATGAACGAATAACACATGATACAGTCTCACACAACATATTCAACCGTTTATTTTAGCACATAACATACTCTTATAAAACATATTTTATAATTATGAACAAGACAAGTGCTATTTTCATATTTTACGTGTGCTGATTTTCCAAATCAACACCGTAACCCTTCCCTCAAATATCGTATATTTCAGTAGGATTTTTTTTTTTTACCATAAATATAAATTATTGATGCTAATTGAGTTTCAAATGAAATACTTATAAGTAATTATTGCATGCAATTTATATCAATTTGTTTTTATTCATAATATTGTACTATTCCGTTGTGTCACGTATCATCTTCTAATTTGTC